GTTCTAATTGGTCAGGAACTTTCTTGACGATCAATTCATTGGTTAGAAGGTGCTTGTGTGTGTTTACACATATGTTTTACATATTTTCTTCACAGATTCTCATGGGATAGATTTTTTATTTCTCACAGGTACAACCTGTTGTTTTCACAATAATAGATTGTTATGCAAACTGATTTTCATTCTTAGAATTCTTTCTCATGGGAACTTACCAGGCTAGCTGTTAATTCAGCTGAGCCTGATTTTTTAAGGCCTTTATTTTATAAGGTTTTACCTGTATGCAACATAGCACAACCATTTGCAGGACTGTTTCAGAAGGAAAATAGAGGGTGTTTTTATCCTAGATCAGTGTAGAATCTTATACATCCTGATGCTCTCCATCTGCAGGATTAACAGGCCCAACAACAAAGCATTACAGGTCTCTGCCTTCTGCAGTCTCTTTACAAACTTTCTGGCATCATGATGAAATACATACCAGACTAGGATCGCTGTAAGTGTGAGCAATGAATTAAATCTAATGCTGTTTTCTTCACTTAAGGAACAAACTTTGCAAAGCTCCTTAATGCTCAATGAAGCAGCTTTACTGTGGAATTTTCCTCTGTGAACTCCATGTTCAGACAATCTCCCTGGTGAGGTACACACAGCCTGTCATTTAATACAAATGCAAAACTCACATTTAACTTATTAGTTGGGGGAGGAATACAGATGAGGGTAGGATGAATCTCATGAGTCATTGTTTCTGTAGGATAAAAAGCAAGCTTGTCTTAAAAAAAAATCAATTTGTTTCTACTGTGTATTGCAGATAGAAGTGCTTAAATAATAGAAAGATAAACAGAAATAGTTCAGTCAATTGTTCTAGAAAAATGAAAAACAGCTTTTGCATTATGAAATAATATTCTTTAAATATGGAGAAATACAGCATTTCAAATGAAACAATGTTTTGGGAAAGGGAAACAAACGCAGATTAGTCATACTTGAATGTACTTTCCCAAACAATGCACTGCTTAGAGCTAAGACTAAGACATGCATATACCCCAAGACATACATGATAAAATAGGGACTGTATATTAGCTTAATTCCTTTATAATTTTCTCACTGTTGTATCTTTCCCATCTCATGCCAAACCTTACCCTGGATAGCACTATATGCATAATCTGCATTCTGACCACTGAACTCATTCCTAGCTGAACCTCCTGGCCAAATGAAGGAATGTGCATTTGAAGTGCGAAACAGGACAAAAGCCCAGAACTAATACCATTGAAAAGAAAATAGAATGGCAACATTCAAGTGCAGTACCATCTTCCAGTTGTGTGCAAATTTCAACGAGCCTTTATTACTTTATGTTTTTAGATGTGGCAGGAAATAAAGAGGCAGAGTAAAGGTATACCTGAAAGAAACCCCAAAAAAAGTCTAAAGCCAGCTGAACAATGGGGAAAAAGTGCTGAAATGGGGATTTAATGGAATTAAATTTTTGTATTGCACTAAAGTAGGTTCATGAATGTTCTCTTGCACTAAATGGTTTGTTCTGTACTCCCCCAAGCTACGGTGATGTGGTTTTGTCCTCCCATCGCCCCTCCCCTTCGGTCATACCCCATTGGTCAGAGTCCTTTTCCTCCCCTCCCCTTTCCCTGGATTTAGAACCTCCTGCCATTTTCTGTTTGGTCTCTCTTTTTGTCCTTCTCCCACCTGGAAGCTACAATAAACAGTGGGACAATTTCCCATGGGAGAAAGTGCCTCCTTTGGTCTTTTGCCTTTGTCCTTGTCGGCATTTCTCCATCCCCTGCAGTCCAGAGCTAGTCTGGAGGACCCGGGGAGAAAGGAAAACCGAAAACTGGCATCCAAGCATGTGGCTCTTGCGAGGTCAGAGACTCATGCAATGGCTGGGATCTACGTGTGGATTATACGAGCCCTTGGACTATCAGTTACCTTGGAGGCAACAGGCTGCTTTTTGTGCAGCAACGCCTACAAGGACAAGACCAGTAGCCTGTCTTTAGGCCAAAGGCGGATCACCCTGGACAAAGGAGTTTCCTTGCAGCAGTTCCAGCCAGCCAAGGAGGGGGTTGAGTACCCCTCATGAGTGTTAGCGAGGACCCCGAGTAGCTCCTGGTTGCAATGGGGATGGGTTTCTGCACGGTGACAGACGGCGGTGTCGGCATGTGGGCCACAGCACAGCCCAGGTGGCGTGGGGCCACGTGGCATGGGTGGCCCAAGCAGTGCATGCAGAATGGTGGCATGGGTGGCCCAAGCAGTGCGCGCAGAGCAGTGGCGCGAGTTGCTGAGCAGCAGCGGTGTGTGGGTAAGCTGGCGTGCTGGCAGCATGCGGAGATGGCGCGTGGAGGTGGTGCACAAAGTGGCGTGGGTGGCCTGGCTTTTGGCTCGGGTTGTGGGCAGCAGGGTGCAGGGCGATGCTGTGGGCGCAGTGGTTCGGTGCCAGGAGCAGTGCGAGCAGCGGTGCAGGTGACATGAGCCGCCAGTATCGCGAGTTGCAGGCAGCGGCACACTTTCGGTGTGGTGGCAAGCAGTGCGAACGGCATGAAGTGCCAGCACCACGAGCCACAGCAGCTGCATGGAGGCATGGCACTGGCAGAGTGGCATTGCCAATGGCAGTTTAAAAGCCATGTGGTGTGTTGGCATGCACTCCTCCTACCCCAGCGTCATGCAGGGAGGAGAAGACACCAGACCCATCCCCAGGCTGGTTGTAGACAATTTTTAACGCTTTCAGTTTCTGTCTGACTGCAAAGAAAGGTAGATTTAATTGTGCAGATTGCTTTTAACATCAGGATGGGGTCTCAACATTCTGTGCAACAAAGGCACATACACTCCCAAGTTTAGAATATCTTAAGTAGTGGGAATGTTACAATTTCTAAGAAACAGTTAAAGCTGTTTGTGTGCTGGTTGTCTCTTCATTTCCTTCAGTTTACCCTGCAAAATGTAAATTCTGTCTCTTCCTGGGACAAAACTGGAGACCTATTAACTCTCAAAGTGGAGCAGGGAGACAAAACAGTATCCAAATTTCTTCCACTGTTCCTTTTAATTTGCAAAGAATTGAATAAAAGGGAAGTGAAGGGATAGCCACAACAAACTCCTCTGGTTTCCCCTAACCTTTTTCCCAGCCCCTAGACCCCTGAGCTGGATGAGACACACAGGACATCCTGAGAAACACAGGGAACCTGGAACAGCCATTGTTTCCCTGCCCCCCCCAGCTCCCACCCAACACCCTGACTCTGGCAGTTGTGTGCAGACTGACAGAGTACCTTCCCTATACCCCTCTACCCCAGTTCAGTGTTCTGTTAGTTTTAAAGATGTCCCCTTCCATCCACATGGCAGCGACCGCATGGCAGGGATCCAAGACAGTGCCGGCCACATGGCAAGCCCTCCATCTTACCTTTCTTCCTCCCACAATCCCTTTTACCCACATGTCCCTGCCTCCAACCCTTTCCCATCCCACAACCCCTTCCTCCCCTCAGACACTCCTCCCCATTCCTCCATGTCCCTGCCCTGCATGACATCATCCTGCAAGTCTGCCTACAGATGTTGCCATCCTAGTTCCCATGGTTGCTCCTCCTTCCCGGGCAACTCCATCCCCTCTCCTGTTACTGTTTCCCACAGTCCCCCCTCCTGTCTCCCTCGAGGTGGTCTCCCTCCCGTTTCCCATGGTGTGGGGGTGGGACCACCTCCCGTTACCCATGATGGTGGGGGTGGAGGGAGGAACCCCAAGTGGGGGAACCCTGGGGGAAGAGACCCTGGAGATCAGGACCAGGAAGAGGAAGCCATACCCTCAGCTGCCTCTGTCATATATTCTGATAGGAGAAATTAAATTAGAAACTATCAGCCTTTCTCCTACCAAAACAAAAAGGAAATTTGTAAAACCCAAAAGCAGTTTGGCTGAGGCAGTGGGATCTTTAAGGGAATGATGAAAGCTACTTTAATATCAAATGAATTAATTCCAGCCAACCTCCAAGATCTCTTCTGGTGTCTCCTAACCCCCTCAGAGTTCAACCTGTGGGAAAACACCTGGAAGAGATCTCTGAAGGGACTCCTAATGGAACTTAAGCAAAGCACCCAGGGCGCAACAGATGCAGATGGAAAGGAGATCACCTATGAACATCTGTGCGGCGAGGAGGAGTGGGCTAACCCCAAGGACCAAGCTTGGGTGTTATCCAGATTCATTCTAGACAAAATCTGTGAAGTTGCAGAAAAGGTTTTTAACCAATTACCAACAGTTGAAGCTAAGGGTAGTTATGTTAATATTAAACAATATGCCACAGAAAACATTTTGCAGTTTCTCGACTGCTTTTGTGCAGAAGTGGAGAGATCAGTAGATGACTCAGTGGCACAGGCAGAATTAATTACGGAGATGGCTCAGAAGAATGCCAACGAAGCCTGCCACAGGGAAATCTTAGGACTGCCTATTGATCCTCTGCCTACACTAGTACCGATGATAGAAGCATGTGCCAAGAAAGCAGAGCTCTTCAGTGCACCAGAGGAAAGGCTAGGACTGGCAAACCCAAAGACTGCAGCAGCTGTAACACCAGAAGAGGCAACTGAGGTCACCAAAACAGCTTCAACATGTCATCTGCTTCCAGTGCAAGAAGCCAGGACACTTCGCCAGAGACTGTCCTCAAAGCCAGTAACAGAAGAAGAAAAATAAAAAAAGAGAAGTGACCAGCAAACAAAAAAACTAAAACTAGAACATGGACCCGCCCCGTGCCATGATATAAATGGAGTGGGCTCCACAGTGGGGAAAGCCTATCTCTTAACAAAAAAGGGGGAGGAAGGGAAGTGGGGTACAGGTCAGCAGAAAAATAAAAATGGAAAATGTAGTAACAAAGTTTGGCAGCCTCACGGGCATTTCAGGCTTGTGACTACCAAAGCCTTTCTTTTCAGGTCTACCCATTGGACAATAATTGGAGTGGACCTGCCAGACGACTTACAAGAATTGACAACAAATCACACAGGACTGGACAGTGAGTATTTTGTTACTGGGGACATCACACACACAGCCATGGAGATTGAGGTGGCTCCCATGACCATCAAGGCGCTGCTCTCAGCCATCCTTCTATTTGGCCAAAGGGTAAATCATCGCACAGGCCATTCCTGTTCCAGCGGAGGTCCCAGTAGATGAAAAAGCACCTGGCATCTACTGGGCAGAAGTGGTTGGTAAGGACAAACCCATTGTGGGATGCAGCCTAACCCGTGGAACAGACCATCTCCACATGGAAGGATTGCTTGTTATGGGGGTAGATGTGACAATCATACCTGAAAGGATGTGGCCGTCACAATGGGAACTGCAACCAGTGGCTGGAAAAATCCAAGGTGTAGGAGGGGTCAAACTGGCGAAAATCTCAAAAAGCATCATACAAATTGAGGGGCCGGATGGGAAATTGGTCAGTATTCGTCCATTTGTCACCGACTACAAGTGCCCCCTGTGAGGGAGAGACACCATGTCCCAGTGGGAGGGTCAAATTAGTTATCCCTGAGACTTCCCAGGATTTTTAGAAGCAGCCACCGTGAAGCGCCCTACCCACAAGTTAAGATGGCTGGATGACACTCCAGTTTGGGTAAAGAAATGGCCGCTAAGTAAAGAAAAGCTTGAGGCGCTCGAGGAGCTCTTGGAGGAGCAATTAGCCAAAAGCCACATAGAAAAGACAACCAGCCTGTGGAATTCCCCTCTTTATAGTAAAGAAGCCAGGGAAGGATAAGTGGCGGCTCCTCCATGACCTCTGGGAAATAAAAGTAATTGAGGACATGGGGTCACTGCAACCTGGGATGCCTTCCCCAGTGATGCTTCCCCAAAATTGACAATTGGCTGTCCTGGACATCAAGGACTGTTTCTTCCAAATTCCCCTACACCAAGAAGACGCCCCAAGATTTGCCTTCTCAATTCCTACCACCAATTGAGAAGCCTTAATGAAGCGCTACCACTGGAAAGTGCTGCCACGAGGCATGAAGGGCAGTCCTTCCATCTGCCAGTGGTACGTGGCTTCATTGCTGTCTCCGGTGCGCACCCAAAAAAGGGAGGCAGTCATCCTCCACTACATGGATGACGTGCTTGTGCGCACCCCCAATGACTCTAACTCTATACTCCAACACACACTTGACCTAGTGGTTAAAGTTTTAACCTCTGCTAGATTCCAACTGCAGGAAGACAAAGTCCAAAATGTGCCACCTTGGAAGTACCTGGGCTTGGAGATCACTGCATGGACCGCTGTTCTGCAAAAATTGGAAATCGTTAGTGATCCCAAAACCCTAGCAGATCTCCATCCCCTGTGTGGGTTTTTGAACTGGGTCAGGCCCTGGTTAGGCCTCACCAGTGAGGACCTAAACCCCCTCCTCAATTTATTGAAAGGGGAGAGAGAGCTGGTTTCTCCCAGAGAACTGATCGCAGAGGCAAAAGCCGCAGTCAAAAAAGCACACAAGGCTTTGGCCAAGAGGCAGGCTTATTGTTATCAGCCTAAGCTGCCTTTCAAATTCATTGTCCTGGAAAGCTGCCACACCTGCATGGTTTGATATTCCAATGGATTGAAGGGCAGAAAGATTCACTCTTAATCATAGAGTGGGTTTTTTTCTCCCACCAACGATCCAAGACCATCACTAAGCCACAAGAGCTGATGGTTCAGCTGATCCGGAAAGCCAGGATAAGACTGTGTGAACTGGCTGGTTGTGACTTTGTGTGTATTCACCTCCCAGTCAGACTTTCTGAGGAGGGAAAGAACTCTCCCAAGAGGTTGACCAAAGAGATGTTCAAGCACCTGCTCCAGAACAATGCCAACCTCCAATTATGTCTGGCCAGCTACGTGGACAAATATCAGTCCATGCCCCGTCACACAAATTGTTTCATGAGGAATTCCACCTCATTCCTCTTGAGAAAAGGAGCCGTAGGCCACTCAAAGCTCTCACAGTGTTCACTGACATATCCGGGGTGTTCCATGAGTCAGTGATGACCTGGAGAAATCCCCAGACTCAGCATTTGGAAGCTGATGTTGAATTTGTAGAGGGGTCACTGAAATGGCCACAGTCGTGAGAACCTCTGAGAAGTTCTCAGAGCCAATTAATTTGGTAACTGACTCAGCCTACGTGACAGGGGTAGTGTCCAGGGCAGAGCAGGCAGTTCTCAAAGACATTGAGAACGAGCATCTTTTCAGGTTGCTCTCAA